TAGGTACACTCGGCATAACTTTGATCACTTAATGTTTGTTTGTAAAATATTGATATAATTATGACGAGTGGATGAATCGCTCAGGTAATGTCTCTGTTATTGTTGATGTGTGTTTTTTGCAGCTACAGTAGCAAAAAACATGCTGAAGAGTTTACAGTCTTTGGGCAAATAAAAACCTGCGTTCGTTCCATATATGTACGTACATAGACTCGATTGTCGTGGGAACAGTTCCGTTCCGTTCAGTCCTACTTAGAATTATAAATTAATTTTATTAAATTACGTTAGCTAATCCAAGAATGACACACAAAAGCATACTTCTCGATAAAAAGGAAAGGAGCTATAATGGTGTTGGTAAGGAAGTTATGGCCAGAGAACTAATTCTGGTCGAAAAAATAACACGCGAGAAGAAGGAGAAACTTGTTGACAATTATCAAACAGAAACAAGGAAATATCAAACTGGGAAATAATATTCTATCAAATAGAAGAAAGGAAAAACAAAACAGAGAACCAAATTTGTGATCTGTTTCAACAATGTGGTTGGCGTTGAAACGAAATCCTAACATTGTACGTTAGCAAGTACAAAACACGCCTCTCTTGAAATCACACCATAAAGACTCTTATCTTAGTTTTGAATGAAATTACAAAAATAAAGACTGGCTTTTGGTAAGATTAAGAAAAATTTAATTTTGAATAATACGGTTGCGGCAAAACTTACAAAAAAAGCTTTACTATTGGTCCTAGGTGATTTTGTCCGATGAGAACAGACAGCTGTCTGGAAAGACTTACGAAAAGAGTCGCTATAGATTTCAAAGCACAATTTGGTATTCCCTTCTTGCCAAATGAATAGTTCCGAATTAGAAGCTAATCTGCTACTTTACATACACAGTCATTCGCACAAATATTTCTCTTTTCAACAAGACAAGGCAGGAACCGAGACCATACGAGAGGGTCAACGAAAACACAACGTAAAAGTATCGATCTTTTGAAATGGCCAGCTTGTTCTCCTGATGTAGATCCTATTTAGAACATCAGGGATGGCTGGTAAGAAAGATTTGCGTGGATTATCTTCAATTCAATACGTTTTTATTACTTATTATTTCAGAAAAATCATTAAAGTATGAGAAAATTATTCGCTTGACTCGACTAAATTTAATATGAAGGCGCTTTGTCGTTCAAATACCATTCATCAATAATGATGCGGATAGCTCGGTAAACAGACAAGGAGCACCCGATAATAAACGGTATGTTTTTAGACATGTGGTTTTCAAGAAGATATAAGGCATACAATTTAATGTTATGACCCATATATTATCTTTATTATGCAAATAAGGGTTTGACATTATGTTTTAGAAATGATTTCGGGCAAGGTACTATACCAGCCAACTCTAATAAGTACCAGTCGATAGGTCCTATTTTCGACTAATTTTTGAGAGCCGTATATTAGAATTAACCCGCCGAATCCAAAGTACATAGACAAACGACTTCAAATAATAACTCAAAAAGTAGTACATGCGGTGTTAAATCGCCATTAAATTCAATCCCTGCAGGTATTGGAATTGTAATCCCGGCAACAACAATGTCTTCTGTGCGCAATGTTCGACGGATACTGATAATACATTATCCACGATAGTAAACGTGGTGCTCTTATGGGCGATTATGGCGCCCGAATATTTCTCCGATTTTAGTATTAAATTTGCACAGTTCCCACACGTTGTTCTGGAGTCTTTTCATTATGAAATGACAAACGGAAATGATGATAAATTAAAGAACAGTAATTAATAAACCTACTAAATAACCTACTTCGACTAAAAACGTATTGCCTCATTAAAAATGAGACTTCAAAAAAGAGCTTAATTAGACTATTATGAAAGACACGTGTAAAGTGACTGTAACCATAGAAAACAGTTGAACAACGAGTTTGCATGGAATTTTTTTGTTTCTAATTGAATCAAGCAGACAGGATCAGGACAGGAAAACTACTTTAGCAAGAGCATAAGTATTTGAGTGGCACAAAGCATCCCGTGATTGTCATTCGCCGCTGTTGAAGTTAATGAAGTTAATACCAAAACAGTTAAATAAATATTCTTGAAAATCTATGAATCGCCTCAGCACATATTGGTCAATGTTTTGGATACGAAGCGTGCTAATACTAGACTCTTATTAAAAGACCAGAATCTTTGGCAAAAGCGAAATCGAATAGAGGCCGCAAAAGATATGCTTGATAACGTAGCTTATGATCTCACATTCATACATGACATGACCTCGAAATTGTCCCATAATCTAGTAAATGCGTCCAAAAAAATTTGGCGGAAACGAAAAAATCAGCACTGAAGGTCAACCCAGCCTTAACCGAAATAACAATTCTGTGAAAAACTGGGGTAAGTGGAGGTATGTTTGTATTTCCTCCAGAACAGAAATACAGATTTATATTACAATTCGGGAACATGTAGCTATTTTGTCAGTCCGTCTCAAATTTGATCATATGGTACTTGCTTGAACTCAAGTAAAAACCTGTAATAGTTTCTTGTTAAAGTAGTTTCCATTTTGCTTTATTAGCATATTAGATAACAGCACATATTTCAGTGAATATGTATGATAGATAGCAGTACATATTTCAGTGAATATACATACTATATGTGTTTGCTCTCATAATGATACACTCGATTCGCACTTTCGTTCTTAATTTCACTCCATTTCCTTGCAACAATTGCCTTAAATGTCTTCCGTTTTTTGCTTTAATGTTCCGCTGCCCCTGACTCTGCCACATCATTTCGGAGTGCATTTTTGCTGAGACGATTATTTGCAAAGAAATATGCGCACTTTGTGTATCTTATCGTGTGCATTCGGTGCATTTGATATATGCAAATTCTACGCAACGCTTCCAAAAGCAAGAATTGCAAAAGAACAAAGTTTCCTAAAAAATGCGCAAAATTTAACGGCCAAAAATGTGTGTGGGAATAAATGAATGAAAGAAGTGTGTATATATAGAAGGAAATGTAAGCCAAATCATAAGGCAAAGAAGAGAGCAAAAATTCAAAATCTGAAACTGATAGAAGAATGATTAATTGTATGTTAGTTGGCAACGAAGTTGTGGAACACAGCTTACAACTCTATTCAGTCAATGCACAGAAAGGGTAAACTCCAACTGACTGCCATCAACCTACACACTGCCTCTGGAGCGGTGTTAATGATGCGAGCTTAAATCCAATAAACGTGTTCAAGTATAAAGGTTTCTAAATTATAGCATAGAGTCGGAAACAGATTATCATATTCTTCTTAGACTTTTTTACTCTGATTTGTCTGGGTCTGATGACATCATCGGATTTGCAAATTACACGAATCATAGTGGGGGACTTTCTTCACGTACTGGCAAAAAATGATAAATTGGAGCGAAAAGTCAACTATAGATATTGGAGTCCAAATATTCGGTACCTAGATACTAATTTTGTAGCAGTGGTGCGATTACTCCCATCTACAAACTCAGTTTCATCAAGGTATCTCAATTTTTACTCAAGTTACAGTTTGCACCAACGAACGAACGAACGGACGGACGGAGGGACAGACAGACAAACAGTCAACTAAATTTCTACTTTTCTCGTCATCCAAATAATTTATATGTATACACATACATAACCTATATGTACCTCGCGTAACTTTAGGTGATACGTACAACCTTTAGGTGAAGAAAGAGAGAATATACAAATATACGGTGTGTTTGGGACATAAAAAGGTTATTTTATCCAGTGAAAGAAAATGATCCCTCTCTCGTGAACGATTTTATTTATTTTTTCTTTTGTTAAGTTAAAAACAAAGATCCAAAAACTTTGATACTTGAATTTAAATAAAATTTGAGGTAACGTTGAAAAAGTCTGTAAACAAAAGTTCTAAATCTTTTCTTTCCTTGCCATATTTTTAAGTCTTCAAAATTTAAGCACAAGCTCTCTCCCACCAAATCCCGTTCCCAGATCGTAATGTAATCAATCTATATACCACTGTGTTCGAAATAATAGCAGTGGCGTAACCCAGAATTCCAATGAAGCAAAAAATCGTGTAATTGATTTTTATTATGGATTATTATTATTGTATTTAATTCGCTGAAATTTAAGCCTAAAGAAATATGATTTCTTTAAAGAATAAGATAAAGTTCTTCTTTAAATAAATGCATGTTGTCGGCATCCTAGGGAATCAAATAAAACCATTTTTGTTTCATCGAACCACAGTATGTTGGGTAATTTTTCGACTGATCAATGCAGGTGCTCTTCAAGCCACTGCTATTATTTCGAACACAGTTGTGTATATAAAGGTAATTAATAAATATTTTTCTTATTATTTTACAATTTATTTATAATTAAAATATTATTTAATATGCGAAAATTTATTTTTATATTTTTTTAATTATTTTAAATTTATATTTTATTTTATCTTTATTTATTCAAAATTAGAAAATTTTTCAATTACGGTTCATTTATTATGAACGCGACTGTACAAGCTGATAATGTATTTCTATTTATAAATAATTAAATGCATGCAAGTTCTCTAGTACTCTGCTAATGCATAGCATCGAATGTTAGCACTCCATGTTAATTACAGAATAAAGTGAATGTGGGTAACAGCAAAGAGCAACAGAAGTAATATGACTGCGCAACTGATTTACATATTTCGGATTTTACGCACAGAGAACAATCACCTTCTCTGTTACACTCGACTGTTCAAAAAAGTACACAGGAACTAGACGCAATAGAGACAAAAATTAGAATAGATATTCAAAGATGTTCACTGATAAAAGTAGTACGACGTCTGTTGGCAGCTATGAGGATATTGATTGCTACAGTGGCAACCAATCGTTTAAATTGTATAACGACATATGCATATGTTCATGTGAATGTATGTATATATTTAAGATAAAATTAATTAATTTTTAATAAATGTGCAATAAATTGCCAATAAAAGGCACATTTCTACATATGTAAATATAGAATAAATATTTTATAAGCACTTACCTCCTTTATTTTACGTCGTTTCGCATTTTCTGCAATAAATTGGCACACTTCCCTACTCTAAACTATTTTCTCTACTTCTGACACTTTATTTACATTAACATAACATAATTGACATTAACATAACATTTTATGCACATCCACTGGCAGAGCTCTGCTTGCGCCGACGCTTAGCGCTCAGCTTTTGCACTCACTGATTTTCACTTTCATTTTTACCACACAAATAGCAACGCCCGATTACTTTTTTACATTAAAACGATAAAATTCATGAATTTCAACGTAATTCAACTAAAACTTATGTAATTGCAGCTTTAATTCCTAAACTAATTTTGCTTTCTCCGAGCTGCTGCAAATGTCACTTACGCGAAGGAGATATAGGGAAACGAATGTTCGAAATGGCGGATATTAAAAACGAGTGGCCTTTGTAGATACTGTAGTAGATCGCCTAAAACTACAGAGTTCATCAATATTTTTAAATTACAAAGCTGTGGAAGAGATATGTATATTCAAATTATATGCCAGAACTCTGAATCTTTTGAAAAATACTGCCTTTTTAATTAGTTTGCCTCAAGCGCATTGCTTTCAATTGAATTTATGATATTCTACTGTCATTCATGAACGTGCCAACAGATGGCGCACACATTACTCGTTGAAATTATCTTATGCACAGCTGTTATTATTTGCTTATTAAGAGCTAAAATATTCAATGTTGCATAACATTTCGCTAACAAAAATGATTTTTAATTATCCAATAACAATTTTAAATATATAAACTTTTATTTGGCACCTACCGAACTCTACAAATTAAAGAACAAAATAGTTCAGTGTCCACTGAATTGCTGTAAGGTACTTCTAGCTGCCAATAGATGTCATTGTTATTCTCAAGAGCGATTATCATCAATTGCCTCCCCCTATTTCCGCCGCCATTGTTTATAGTTCCTTTTTGCTAAGCGTTCGCGTAGATGGAAATTGTATTAGCCGAGAGTACGGCATATGCTCTCATAATTGTAGCTGCACATTTTTAAAGCTGCGCAGTCATATTATTGCTGTGACTATCACTGTTGATTAACATTTTCTGTTAGACTGTTGTGCTTAGCATCGTTTATTAACACTTCTGGAAATGAGACTACTTTCTTATGGGACAAAACACTGGTGTCCATGGTATTAGGAAACCAAAAAAAAAAATTTAACAATGAGTAAAAATTAAAATTAACAAGTAAAGAAGAACTAAGTTCGGGTGCGACCGAACATTTTATATTCTTGCAACTTGTGCGGATCAAAGCCTGGGAAATGCTTTAAGGTGTTGAACGGAGGATCAAAATCCAAGCAATTTTGTATATTCTATTTATAACAAAACAACAAAATGAAAGTTGTTATATGTATATAGTATAAGAGAGTTGGAGTAATATCAAGCCGATTTTTTCTATTCTTCCCAATACCACATACTATTAACTTGCCACATACTAAAAAATCAGTTATATTGCGTAAAAGTCAGTCAGATGTTCGAAAAGCCTGATATTAGTTATATAGGGACTAGGTCAAGATTTCGCGACAATTTATCTGTTTTAAGCACAAATTTTCATGAAATGAGTATACACAAATTTTGAGCTCCTTGGCTTGGTAGAATGGGATATTAAGTTTTGTTGAAGTTATTAATTTCCAGAATACATATGGTGATTTTCTCGGATTCTGGAATTTATAAATATTGCTCAAATGAGGGAATGGATCACTCCCCTCTTAGGGGACTTAATTTATGATATACAAACAAAACTGTCGACCCATTTAGGACCCAAGGCATTGAATGTAATGATTTTCGAATAAGCTAGGATAAACGAAAACATCAACAAAATCGAAAAAAATTAGATAAGCGTAAAATAATGAATCAGTTTTACCGACACTTTAAATTTTGTTAGCTCATCTCAAGGAATGGTCGCTGGAAAGTTATCGCCGAGTGATTTATAAATTCCTAAGAAGATAATTTAAATGACTTTAACGTGTTTGAAGTCTTGAACCTGTTTGAAATCATTATCTTTCAAATATGCGTAAAAATAACATCTTTAAAAATTCCGCTGAAATTCCTTTTGTAACTTTGCAAACATAATACAAATTTTGTTGTGCATTAGAATGGCGTTCGCTGCGGAAATTCGATTTGTCAATTGCAGATGTTGATGTTTTAAATTCATATTCAAAAGCGGCGCGGCGCCAACGAGTCTCATCGATTGGAACAGTGAGCCACCGTTCAGCATACGCTTTAAAACTCAGCGACAAGTGTAATGTTCGTGCATGCTTTTTTTCAACTGTCACATGTTGTATTGACGACCTTTTAATCGTGGCAATGATTTATTTATGAGCAAATAAATATGTTGCAGCGCACAGGCGTATTGCCATTGTCGATTATTTTATACATATGGTGATTTTGTATGTAAATGCAGACTTGACAAAAAAAATTTTAATTTAATATGGAAATCAAAAAATTTATTGATTTAAGTGCCGATGATTGCATTTCAACGCCTTTTTTATTAAAGCGTTATGAAAATAGAATGCAACAAAGAATGAAGTATTGAAAAGTCATATTTTAGTTTATTTATTTATCTCAAAATATTAACCCTTATAAAATAAAATATATAAGTCAAATCAAAGTTTATATATTGGATAGTCGAAAAAGTATTTTCATATTATGTCAATAGATGTCGTTGCAGTCGTATATCTCCAGTGCTACCAATCACATTGTGTCATACCATATAGAGTTGGAAAGATGAGGCTTTAAGCTTCATTTAACCAAAAATTCACAAAAATTTAAAAAAAGTTACAGCTGTTCAAAAATTAGTAAACATAATGGAAAAGTTTGCTATACATATTTTGAAATTTTTGTATAAAAAAGGGAGGAAGAAGTATAAATAAGTATATATAAAAATAAGTTGAAGGTTGAGTAGAAATACGAAAAGACTTTTTCGACTACCCAATATAATATATGTATATATGTATGAATGTATATAAAGTGTCCTCATAAAATCCTAATCAATTCTGGTAACGTAGACCCGGCTGTTGCGAGAATTGATGAGTATCCTTCATTCTTTCCGATTCAGTCGAATAATAAACTCGTACAGTTAGAATTCAAAGCAAATAGAATATTCAAGGTCAGGCATTTGTGGAAATTTAGTGCCAACAACTAAGAAAATCGGATTTCAGCACGTCCTATACTTCCTATTAAGCAAGTTAATGGTCCACTATCTGTCCTAGCTGCGCTGATTATCCTTTTCAGCTCTAAATATATGAATTCTTTGTAAGAGATTAGAAAGTGGTCGGTTATCTAAATTGTTTATTTTTGATCTCACATTACGTTGATTCGTATTAGAAAGAAAACACAGTGTTATATGTATGGAGTTAAGCTATTGAAGGTCCTGTTCAAATGGACCCATTTTTTTTTAGCCAAATCATATAACCATTAATATAAACATATAGATATCACTAATTAACATTTAGATAACTCGTATATTGACCTGTGATCGAAAAGTAAGATGAATTTGTTTATAAAATTTAAATTGCTAATTTATTTTTCAAAATATATTTTATCCTGACAAAATGCACTTTTCCCATACCTCGTAACTATTGGAATATTATTTTCCTGGTACAACTTTCAAGACTTGTTTCTATTCTGTTTTTATCTACTCAATCAGCCAAATCAGGCGAATACGATGCTTGCGGAAGATATGAGTCGAGTTTTTGCAAAAAAGTCGCCAAGAACTAATGCAGTATGGCATGGTACAGTGTCGTGATGAAGGGACCAAGAATTGTTTCGGTTGTTTCAAAAGCTTAACGCTGGTGCCGAAACGTTTAGAGTGTTAGAAAAACCTTTCGGTGATAATAGTTTGTCGCGAGCGAGTGCTTTTGATTGGTACAAGTTATTCAAAGGGCTGAAGGCTTAGTAGCCAGTGCTGCGATTTCATGTATTTATATAATAAATATTTTATTGTATAAATGATTATAAAATAAAAAAATAAATAAAATAAAGTCATTCAAAGAGGATCGAGAACGCGTTGACGACGAACCACGCCCAGAACGGCCATCAACATCAACTAATGATCAAAAAGTCAATAAAATAAAGGAATCGGTCAAAGATCTTACTGGTATCGTTAGAATATCAAAAGATCAGTGAAAACCATTTTTGGAAGATTAATTGGGGCTAAGAAAAATGAAGGCAGGATTGATTCCAAAATCACTCAGTTTCTTCGAAAAACACCGTCGTGTTGGGTCTATGAAACAGTTATTTCCGACTATCAGGATATCTTGAAACATATTATTATTGGCGATAAACCGCCATGGCAAAAGTGAGCCGAACCGATAAAAACACCTCAAAGCAGGTCAAAAATCAAGTTTATATATGCTCCGTGAGACTTCTGGCCATTCAGCAAACTCAAACGACTGCTCCGGGGAAACCGTTTTGAGTCAACTGAAGCAAATTGACTTTAACAACTGACAGCAGAGTCTTACTATTTTATGGTTATGGTTACACCAAACCAGAATCATTTGTAAAATATATACATAACTACTACTATAGGAAGGAACTGCGCCTTTTTGAACCTTTGAACCTTTCATCGACATATTCTGATTATTTTAAAGTATTACAGCATTCGTGACAAAAATTAATTTTATCTTACGAAATCTCCTCATAAACTTTATAAAAGTAAGTTATATAATTTTGGATATAATAGTTTTCTTTAAGAACATAAAGTTGGACTGAAATCTATTCTTCTGATATTAGTGAAAATATTAGTCCTAAGTAGCTTAAATGGAAATGTTTTTACAAAGCTTGGAAATAATTATGGAAAAAAACGGAACTTATTCTAAAAATCCTTAATTGTCGCCTCTTAGAGGATTTTTGGGTCATTCTGAATCGGAAATAGCACATCACGATAAACAAAGAAGCTCTGTCGAACATCTAAAGCATATTATGTGTATGTAACTCCAACAAAAAAAAAAAAAATTAGCCGTTGTCACCCTGATAAAGGCATAAGATTTTAGATCAATACAATGCGGACGTGCACCATATTAATTTAGTT